ATGTAGGCGGAGAACGCTGCTGCCCCCCCCAAAACACCTTGCAGGAGGAGAACGCTGCTCTCCCCCCCTCCCAGCACCTTGCAGGCAGAGACCGCTGCTCCCCCTCCCCCGGCACCCTGCAGGCGGAGAACACTCCCCTCACCCCGGAACCTGGCATGCGGCGAACTCTGCTCCCCACCGCACCTTGCAGGCGGAGAACGCTGCTCCCCCCCCGGCACCAGGCAGGCGGAGAACGCTCCTCCCCCCCGGCACCAGGCAGGCGGAGAACGCTCCTCCCCCCCGGCACCAGGCAGGCGGAGAACGCTCCTCCCCCCCGGCACCAGGCAGGCGGAGAACGCTCCTCCCCCCCGGCACCAGGCAGGCGGAGAACGCTCCTCCCCCCCGGCACCAGGCAGGCGGAGAACGCTCCTCCCCCCCGGCACCAGGCAGGCGGAGAACGCTCCTCCCCCCCGGCACCAGGCAGGCGGAGAACGCTCCTCCCCCCCGGCACCAGGCAGGCGGAGAACGCTCCTCCCCCCCGGCACCAGGCAGGCGGAGAACGCTCCTCCCCCCCGGCACCAGGCAGGCGGAGAACGCTCCTCCCCCCCGGCACCAGGCAGGCGGAGAACGCTCCTCCCCCCCGGCACCAGGCAGGCGGAGAACGCTCCTCCCCCCCGGCACCAGGCAGGCGGAGAACGCTCCTCCCCCCCGGCACCAGGCAGGCGGAGAACGCTCCTCCCCCCCGGCACCAGGCAGGCGGAGAACGCTCCTCCCCCCCGGCACCAGGCAGGCGGAGAACGCTCCTCCCCCCCGGCACCAGGCAGGCGGAGAACGCTCCTCCCCCCCGGCACCAGGCAGGCGGAGAACGCTCCTCCCCCCCGGCACCAGGCAGGCGGAGAACGCTCCTCCCCCCCGGCACCAGGCAGGCGGAGAACGCTCCTCCCCCCCGGCACCAGGCAGGCGGAGAACGCTCCTCCCCCCCGGCACCAGGCAGGCGGAGAACGCTCCTCCCCCCCGGCACCAGGCAGGCGGAGAACGCTCCTCCCCCCCGGCACCAGGCAGGCGGAGAACGCTCCTCCCCCCCGGCACCAGGCAGGCGGAGAACGCTCCTCCCCCCCGGCACCAGGCAGGCGGAGAACGCTCCTCCCCCCCGGCACCAGGCAGGCGGAGAACGCTCCTCCCCCCCGGCACCAGGCAGGCGGAGAACGCTCCTCCCCCCCGGCACCAGGCAGGCGGAGAACGCTCCTCCCCCCCGGCACCAGGCAGGCGGAGAACGCTCCTCCCCCCCGGCACCAGGCAGGCGGAGAACGCTCCTCCCCCCCGGCACCAGGCAGGCGGAGAACGCTCCTCCCCCCCGGCACCAGGCAGGCGGAGAACGCTCCTCCCCCCCGGCACCAGGCAGGCGGAGAACGCTCCTCCCCCCCGGCACCAGGCAGGCGGAGAACGCTCCTCCCCCCCGGCACCAGGCAGGCGGAGAACGCTCCTCCCCCCCGGCACCAGGCAGGCGGAGAACGCTCCTCCCCCCCGGCACCAGGCAGGCGGAGAACGCTCCTCCCCCCCGGCACCAGGCAGGCGGAGAACGCTCCTCCCCCCCGGCACCAGGCAGGCGGAGAACGCTCCTCCCCCCCGGCACCAGGCAGGCGGAGAACGCTCCTCCCCCCCGGCACCAGGCAGGCGGAGAACGCTCCTCCCCCCCGGCACCAGGCAGGCGGAGAACGCTCCTCCCCCCCGGCACCAGGCAGGCGGAGAACGCTCCTCCCCCCCGGCACCAGGCAGGCGGAGAACGCTCCTCCCCCCCGGCACCAGGCAGGCGGAGAACGCTCCTCCCCCCCGGCACCAGGCAGGCGGAGAACGCTCCTCCCCCCCGGCACCAGGCAGGCGGAGAACGCTCCTCCCCCCCGGCACCAGGCAGGCGGAGAACGCTCCTCCCCCCCGGCACCAGGCAGGCGGAGAACGCTCCTCCCCCCCGGCACCAGGCAGGCGGAGAACGCTCCTCCCCCCCGGCACCAGGCAGGCGGAGAACGCTCCTCCCCCCCGGCACCAGGCAGGCGGAGAACGCTCCTCCCCCCCGGCACCAGGCAGGCGGAGAACGCTCCTCCCCCCCGGCACCAGGCAGGCGGAGAACGCTCCTCCCCCCCGGCACCAGGCAGGCGGAGAACGCTCCTCCCCCCCGGCACCAGGCAGGCGGAGAACGCTCCTCCCCCCCGGCACCAGGCAGGCGGAGAACGCTCCTCCCCCCCGGCACCAGGCAGGCGGAGAACGCTCCTCCCCCCCGGCACCAGGCAGGCGGAGAACGCTCCTCCCCCCCGGCACCAGGCAGGCGGAGAACGCTCCTCCCCCCCGGCACCAGGCAGGCGGAGAACGCTCCTCCCCCCCGGCACCAGGCAGGCGGAGAACGCTCCTCCCCCCCGGCACCAGGCAGGCGGAGAACGCTCCTCCCCCCCGGCACCAGGCAGGCGGAGAACGCTCCTCCCCCCCGGCACCAGGCAGGCGGAGAACGCTCCTCCCCCCCGGCACCAGGCAGGCGGAGAACGCTCCTCCCCCCCGGCACCAGGCAGGGGGAGAACGCTGCTCCCCCCCCGGCCCCTTGCAGGCGGAGAACGCTGATCCCCGCCCCTGGCACCTTCTAGGCGGAGAACGCTGCTACCCCCCCAGCACTTTGCAGGCGGAGAACCCTGCTCCAGCTCCCCCGGAACCTTGCAGGCAGAGCGCGCTTCTACCCACACCCGGAACCATGTAGGCGGAGAAACCCCCCACCCCGGCACCCTGCAGG